TAGGTGTGCTACGTAAAATGCTCCTTGAAAGTCTTTGGAATACAGTCGCACTTGATAAGTAACCATTAAATTGTAACTTAATAAATAGAAGTTTCTTATGTGAAGTCAGAGTCTCAGGTTTCTTCTCTGATGTTTTCATATGTTTTTTTATGAAACTACTCGGATAGCCCACCACCGTCAAGGAATCGTGAATATATTCAAATTCCTTTTGTAAAAGGTCATCCCTACATATCTTCCGTGCTCTGCTCGCAAGAGAGTTAACAACTTTTATTTTATATTTAATGGGCACGTAACTAAGGTGAACTGGTTTCGTCATACAGTTAATTACACCATTCAGTGTTTTGCGCAGATTTTAGTAACCATCCTTAACACAACCACCGTCTAATTAGGCTAATGTTGACGTCTCAGAAACGTTGAACAGTATATAATTTAAACTTCATTGGAATGTTTGTATGCAGTGGGTATGTGATTTGATGTGATGAAGGATAATTTGAATTTACTGATCCAGTAAGTCAGAATCAGGTGGATCACTAGAGATTATAAACAACCGTGTTCAGGGGTGTTTCCATGCCTGCTTGTGGTATTTTTTGACAACTTGATCGATTCCAGATTCCATTTCAGCGTTTCTTTTGTTTCGCCTATTCGGTGATTGGGTTTCTTCTATCAACTAGCATTGAAGTCACCTGAGTTATTCATTTCCTAGGCGACAACCTGGTTATTTTGTGCAATGTTTCATCTTCTGCTGCTGCATTCTTCTCGCTCCTGTTATCATCTCAGTGTCTGTAGAGCGCCATTTCTTCCCTTGACTCTTCTTTTTGACTAAAATTCAATTACACAACTGTTAATCTACACGGATTTCAAGCACATTTCCTCACAGATAAGGTAGTCAATGCGACTATTTCTTGGCTGCAGCAGTGAAGACTCTTTTTCCTACTGAATTACAAAAAAACGTTTTTTTCATATCTACACCGACTTTGGAGAATTTCAACTTGGTCATTCTAGTGCTTTGAACTACACAGTTATCCCAGTTTCGATCCACCTTAGTCAGTCCCCAACGTTCTTTAGACTGAGTTGAAGATCACGAGATTTATGTTTCACTGTCTGGTGAAGCACATTTCTATGTATTGATATTTTAATGCAAATATGCGCTTCTGAATGCAGTGCATAAAACCTGAGAGGCCAAGACGTCAACAAACCCTTTTCCATCCTCATTCGTTTCATGCAGTACCTTTCTATTTATGAGGAGTTCTCTTCTTGTGTTGTCTTCATTTATATGACCAACTGAAGATATAATGTCGAAGTCTGTATTGTTGTTAATTACTACCTACAGTATTCCTTTTTCTCTTTGTCCTCTCAGATTGTAGGCGAGTATCATGGAATAATTACATCTTGTTGTCACACCTCTCAACCTGATTGCTTTCCACTTCCCAACACTCTTGGTCGGTGAAATGACAACAGACTGCTACTCAGTGTGGCCACGGTTCTCGTCCAGGTTATCAGAATTGATCATTAGCTATCCAGTTCATAACTAGGAGAATCTACTTCTATTTTATCAGCTCTCATAAAATGGTAACACTTTTGCCACCATGTCTTGTTATTCTTCCTGCTATCTGAAGAGCGTTGATAAACTCAATACGTTGTCGACATTCTATAATTACAGGCTCAGTTTCACACTGAGAGAAGTCACGTTGGGCAACATAATTTTGATAGTTTTCACTTTATTGTTTCATGTGTCCTCAAAATACAAACAGTCTTCCTTATTTCAACTGGTAAATACTTTCATTGTTCCTGTGCTATACAATTTCATTATCGATCGGATTTTCTGATGATTGTGTTGCCAGTTCGATGCTGTCTCAGGCTTTTTGTTTTTCCCCTAGTAAACTGGGCGTGACTGATTTTGCAACTTTAGTAATCCACTGCTCGTTGTTGGTTTACTGTGTGTGAAAGCCTGCTGTAATCCATAATAACATTATGCACAAGAATGGTCGATTCTTTTCTCAGACTAACGGTTCACAGGCGCAGAAGGGTTGGCCTCAATAAGTTGGAAAGACTGCTTTGGTCCACTTATCCATATTATTAACAAATGTATTTTTACCACCGATGACTAATTCAACTCCGTGCACAGCGTTTGTCGCCGGCTGATTTCTCAGCGCGTGCCTTCTTTAACACTTCAAACATACTAAGTGGTTCACAATAAGTCCTATTTCAGTTCTAAGAGCTTGTATGTCATGCTCTTTATATGTTACAATGCACTGCTCGTGATTATTTATCGTGTCGATTCGCATAATTTGTAAAACGCTGTATTCAAAACGAAAGCTGTAAACTGATAGTGCTTGCTTCGTTTATTCCACATTCCTTTCGACGCGCAACAAAAAACATTGTAGAATGACTATGAAGTGAAGTGCCAGATGTTTAGAATTTTAGCATCACTTGATTTTGCGTTTGTCTAGAACAAACTTTCAACTGAAGTGGCGACACTGCACACTAAATCAAAACATCTCTTTCTGAAAGACCACAAATAAATAAAGTATTTGTGATGCGAAAGGAATGAAAGTAAACCAGTTTGCTATGCATAGACTCATAATTCATTGTCAATTCCTCAAGATTTGAATGGAGTGTATTTCTTATTCGTTATAATCAAGCCTTTATACTACGGTTCAAATCTTATGGCAAGAAGTCCATTGGAAAAGTTTTCGTTGTCTTCAGAAATTGTAGGTTTACAATTTTAGCATTTCTGTTTGTGCACATTTCAGAAAAATGTGACTAAAATCCCCTCCAATAATAGTTGTGTATCCACTCTGTAATACAGTAAATAATATTCAGGAAAAAACTGCGACCATCCACAAAGATTAGAAACCTCAGATTCCTGGTAATATGCACAATAAATAATGTGGAAAATACAAAGAGAGGGTTCCAGAGAGAAAAATTCGTTTTTCAACGAATAACCTACAAACCAACACTTGAATACCAATAAGATGCTCACTGGCGACTGGCCCTATTCAGGTAGGTAGTTACCTGGGTTCCAGTGGGAAGTCGTGACCAGTAGGGTGCAGCTGGTCGGGTGTGAGGACAAATACTCGCCGAAGACATTGGCTAGGGATCGCGCTATGTCGTGAATTGGCAGAAGTTAGAATTCAAGGACCATTGGATCGGGTCCCAGTGGCTTAATGGTATACGAGCTCGCTAGCCTTGTAACAGGAAGGTCCTGGGTTTGAATCCCGGTGGGTGCGTACTGCTGAAGAGTCCCAAACTAGGACGAAACAGCTGTCCAGTACTACCAGGTTTTCCAATGGTTCTCTAACTAATGTCAGCTCATGATGAAATCCTGGAATAACCTTCGCTTTTTCTTCGGAAGTGATAGAGCTTACTTTAGTGGATGCTAACTGGTGAATAATCTCAAACCGGGACCAAAATGCTGTCCAGTATTGCCTGGTTTTCCAATGGTTCTCCAACTGAATTCACATCGTGATCAGACATGAAGCTAGACCGACGCCTGCAGACCAACACTTGATAACTAATCCGATGCTAATTGGGGACTGTGTCTATTCGGGAAGTCATTATTAGTTGTACTGAGGAGTCGTCACAGATGGAAGTCACCAATTCAGATAAAAGAACAGTAACGTTTCTGTCAGTTGAGCAATATATATCGAATCATCTGGATTTGGAATTCATGTGCAGTGGACTCAAGCTCCAGTCTCAAAAATAGTTTCGTTCTGTTGTCCGAAGGTTCCAGGTTAGCACTGCGGTATATGCTTGGTACTCAAGAGTGCTCACCTGTTAAGATATTGCTGTTCAGTACTCTCCGGTATTCCATTGGTCCTCCACCTGGTGTTAACCTGTTACCGATCCTGCAACCGAGGAAATCCTTGCAAACAAACACTTGATAAATATCTTTCATCATTTCAAGTCGTTCACTTATTTTCGACAAACTTTACTGGGATTTATATATAAGGGATACTGTAATCAGAGGAAGTGACACTGTATGTTTATCAGTATGGAATCCTTCACTTTGCGACTACTCACTCCAATTACAGTCTTCACCCAGGTGACTGTTTAGTGAAAATTCTAGGATTTCCTTTGACATAAATTTATGAAGAGTTTTAATGCAGACGATTCGCTAACATGCTCCACTGTTGACCGTACAACAGAGAAACCTAATATCGTTTGCTCGAAATCAGATTTCGTCTAACGCTCAAACTCTGCACATTCATCTTTCGTATGGTGTTTGAATACAAGAGGATTTATGTTGAAAATACCCAGTGCAGTGGGATACGACACCTACTACGCAGTTATGAAAGTCCTAATTACATTGAAATGTGCACGGAATATGAACGTGGATCACTTTGATCAACATGCCTATACATTAGCCAAACTTACTTGACCCAAGTTTATACCGAATAATTAAAGTAAATTGTCGCATAGCAGCATACAACCAGCGTATTGATGTCCTAAGTATTTCTACGACCAACTGTCAGACAAAAATAAATTCATGGTCCTTTACATCACTATTTAATGCATTGTAAAAAAAACGTTAGCAGGAGATTCGACTTTACCGACAACTCACTCAAATACAACGTCATAAGAATGTGTTTCTGCAATTTAGCTATACAAACCGACTCACTTATTCATATTTAACTTGTGTAGACAGTTCTTATCATGGAATATCTGACAAAAAATTCTTCAAAGTAATCTTCTCACTTCGAAGAAACCTATGCGACCTTTGACTTTCATTTATTATTGAAACAGATTTTGAACTCAGTCCATCATAGCCATCAATCAGGTATACTCATCCCCAATCTTTTTCTATAATACCTTCTTTAAGTATTTAGTGGTATCAACAATGCACAGAATAGTCGCTATTTATGTTTTGTGAAAATGCTATTGTCAGAATAGCAGTTAATGGAGCAAGCTCACTGATGTTAAATACATGAAATGAACATTATTTTGGAGAATAATTCATACAACTTTATTTCCGCAACCACAATAATAGCTAACACTCAGATAGTATGTGATGTACAAACCAGTCTATTGAGAAATGGGATGTCACGGAAAGATGAACACTGCAATGAAATGTGACGCGGTAATATACTGCAGAAACACTAACGTCCAGGTGAGTAAAGCCAGCTTGAATGATAGTAAAGAGTCGGTCACCATATCATTACAACGTTTTAATTCTTGTCCGTTGAGAAGCAATGCCTGTCACGGGAAGAAGAAGTGAAATACGAACCACGATGAAGATATTGTAAGCACATCAACTGACATGAATCATGTGCGCAATACTGTAAACTACAGACTGATTCAGATGAATTCCTGAATAGATTGATTGATGCTCGGCTTCAAACTATCGAAAATGCAGCCCAGTGTTCAGATCGCTTCTAAAGTCTAGCTAACCTGCATTCACTGATGGTTGATGTGAGTCGCACACAACTAGTTATTTCAATCAATCACTAGCAAACAGTTTCACCTATTTATGGTCGCTTTCTTGAATAGCATTTACCTGATGAAGCAGATCAAATCGTGATCTGAATGTTTTTTAGTATCCAAAGGAAACTGTGGAAAGATTTCAACCTTCATGAAATGTACAAAGTGAAGATTGCGAATTCATTTTGACATAGATTATCCTTCAGTGATTTCATGTTAGAACTTTCACGTCAAATTGAGTTTATATCATAAACTAAATGATGAGTCCTTAATTTTGATTAATAAGCATTTAGGTCTATATACGGATTGCAAATTATTGTGCTTATACACGAGGTGAATGGGAACCATTAGCGTCCATGAATATATTGATTCTGTTATCTGCTATGTAGTACATCCTAGTGCGTTTTAGGAAATTTAAGGATAGACGCTGGATATGCAAATCATATACTTTAAAGTAACTTAACCCTTTAGCTACTGATTTGCATTGTGCTTATTGATACTGGATTTACCACTTCATCTTGTCTTCAAATAACAATACACATATAACTTAATAAAATATCAGAATTATTCACTATGAATTCTACTCCTAATCACCAAACTACATCATATGCAATACAAACAATAGTTAAACATATATTTGTGCACATGGTAGATACTAGTAACTTTTGGAAACATGGAGAAAATATTTATTACATAGAGCATCCCAGGTTATTGTGCAATAATTTTGCAAATACTAGCAGATTCTACAAACTAACTCACCACAATTAAACCGAGTACTAGAATCCCACTCAATACTGCATTGGCAATTGTCTGCAAGGAAAAGCAAGTAAGAAAGTCATGCTTATAAAGCGTTGATGTAACGGAAAAGTAACTGTCCATCTCAAAAATATGGTAACAAATTTAACAATGTTTACAATTTTCGGTAAGTTCGCAATGCACATGACGAAGCCGATGTAAACCAGTATTCAGCGTTTGTTAATATCTCAAGTGTGCATGGTGTATGATAATAGTAACTCCAATGGAAATCCACTAGTCTTCCGTGTGGTGAACATGAAGCACATAATGTCAATTCAAGATGTATGATGACAGTGATCGTTTTGCATGGTCAGAGTTGTCGAATTTCGTCTTCACAGAGCATAATGAATCAGTGACGCTAGTGACTCCAGTGATGACAAGAGCCATTTTGAAATATGACACTGTAGTAATCTCGGAAGTGTGATGCTATATAAGGTGTGATGATGCATTTCATGAGTTGTAGCATACTCTATGACTAACATTCATTTACGAGTAGTTCCATCTATCAATATATCCATCACGAATTGATCAGTAATAATTTCAGAGTTGTGTCTGTCGAACTAGTGAAATGATCAGGGCAGTCATTCTTCTGATCCAAATGCCACTTACTTGAAAGTGAAAAGAGAAAAATACGATGAAAGATATGGCACCGCTAAGCATCAATCCAAATATCACATCACCGATGACATAGTAGCCTTTCAGACCCAGACGCTTCATTTTGTACCCAAGTGTTATTGCAATCACTGCGAGGAATATAGTCACTGACCATGATAACAGACTCCACAATTGAATCGCTGACGTAGTGATTGCCAAAGCAAAGGACGAAATAAATACCTGCAATGTGGAAACATTATATATTCATGGCAAGTGTTAATTATGTTTCATTTCATGCTATACTTTTGACATCACAAGTTGGAATATTTTAAACACTGTGTTTATTGCCCACAAAAACAATTTGTTTCTGAAAAATTACCGCAATTATGGATTGAGTAACCAACTGATAATTCTTCCGATTTTCTTCAACAGCCCGTCGACAATTTAGCTCTTCTGTCTGCAATCCAGAATAATATCGGAAATCACAGGGATAAAGCAAACGCATACATAATTCAAGTGATGAAAATAAATTCCAGGTTAGATAGTTAATGCAGTTTTCGTTCAAATTATCCTGCAAATCACCATATTTTTTGCAGATAGGAGTAACACGGGAGAGTGTGCTGAAGTCGTCTGATGACGTTAAATAACCAGCAAAGCCAGAAATTTCGCAAAGCTGGTAAACATGAGGTATAATTGAGCATTTTCTGACATCGAGGTAATATGGATTCATTAGTTGCAACGTGAAATCCAACGTGAATCCTGAAATTACGAACCACAGTCGAATATGTTAGATCATGAATATAAAAGAGACGAGGGTAAATCAGCACCAGATTCTATGGCTTATTGAGTGGTATTTATGCATTCAGCCGAAGCATTTCCTTCTTTTGAAAAATTCTTAAAATAACTAGTTATACTTATAATGACTGTAAGTGGCTCACTACAAGCAACGGCATATAAAGTATGCGGTGTGAAGTTCTAAACACGTAGTGCAATACTGCGTGTGAAACCCTTATCATTACACAACATCATAATACGTGGAATTTCTGTACTGTGACATGGTTGAAGAAACAGTATCATTATTATCTACCCTTGGATCATCAGTGGAAAATAAAGATTCAGAAGAAAACCTGCACTTCATCCAGTATCTTATTGCACTATAAAGCTGATTCCAAGACTACCAATGGCCGTTCTTCATCTCTTTAGGTGTTCGCGTTTACGTCACACACAGATGCCCAATAGGTCAATCCCCTTTTCAGATTCCATTCGATGGCATACAAGGTGCGTGAATTCATTCGGTAGTCTCCTCAATGTATATCTCAATAGGTTCCTGTAAATTCGTTGGCCGATGGGTTTCTCGGTTGTTTCGCTTTCAGAATTCCCTGTTGTTAATCTTTTATGATTATCTGACCTTCAATTTTGAGGCAACAGTAAATGCTCGCGTCGATATATGCTTCAAGTCTTTGGAACACAAACAAACACTTACTTGTTCTGTGCGCTTATTGCAGCAGATTTCCTCAATGGTTTACATTACTGAATGTCTGTCTTCAACTTTAGATCTCATATCTGATTTTTCGTCATCTGTTCCGTGTGAAACTGTGTTGCCTGACGAGGAAACTGAAAGAGGTGATCTCCTTCAAACTGCGATTGCTACTGTCGATAGTGATTGTTGATGTTGTTCAGTAAGCACCCTTATCAACTCTGTCTTCTTCACGTTTATCTGAGGTCCTTACTTCACTGCTTCTCTCGACAAATTGTTCTCATTCACCCAAAGATCTTCAGATTTGTGTGACATTAAACGTAAATCGTCCACGAAATTCACTTCGTTTGGGTTCATTTTATCCCTTTGACATATTCCTGTCTTCTCAAAATGCATGAGAAGTTTTATTGACTTAACATTTTCACTGATTAAAAATGCCCATTAAAATTTTCAAAAGAATGGATACTGAACAAAGAGTACTCTTCTCGATAACCCCTTCCTCATCAGGCTCTACATTTATACATACATTATAGTGAATGAATGAATTAGTGTTGTGAACGACATTAATGTTTAAATAACATAGAATCAGTAATATTGACAGATTACAGCTAAAACTCATCAAAATAAAATAAGCTGAATGTCAGAAGAATTAGGAAAGATAATATTACAAATTCATGGTTTTATAGTTTCTACTCAAGGCCAGGATAATAGTAGGGGCGGGACTGCCAGATCACTGGTTCAGTCACCATATTCGATTACAAGTAATTATTTTGTTGACATTTATTTAGTGACAAGATATGTGGGTATCAGAAACAACCATAAACATTACTAGAAGTTACAGAATGATATACTTACGCTCACTGCAGCTAATATGTAGTTCACCGGGGATGTTCCTTCAAGATTTGGAACAAGTAGCAAGCCTAACGCGAGAATTCCACAGCTGAACCTGTAGGAGATTAGACTATTTCGATTAATCAGTCAACATCGTTCAATAAAATGGAGCAGTGTGCACTATCATCATCACATCACTCAACATGATTATGTTTGTTGGTGTTGGCCACTGGCACAAAAATATTTATTAAATTTGACAATATCTGAGGATTATGTGTGTTGTTACTGCATTTTAAAAGACTCACTCACATCAAAGTAGTGGATGTATTCTCCGGGATAGGAACATTTAGATCGTCTCTGAAACAGCAGTGTGAAGACAAACCATAATTTGAAATTCTTACATGCTCGATATCAACAAGGTGATGATCATCGTCACCGCGATCATCACGCATGAGATGATGATGTACTTCAATGGATTGTAGATTCGATCTTAAACAAACAACGTATCTTACCTTTATAAAACACCTTTTTGTAGACATTACTCCAGTGATTATATTCTAAAAATGAAGCTTGAATATATTTATGAAAACCTTTGACATTGCACTAGGGTACGCCTTCACAGGTTACGACGAAACAAGACTATCGGATTAATTGTCAGAATAAATGTTTGAAAATTTATTAAGTCTGCCTTACAAAAGTAACCTTACGTGAACACGTTTTTCATCACAAACTTCCAGAATTCACTCGATGAGTGTGCGTTGTGTGTCAATCTGATATTAAAATAAATCATAAATAGCAATGATTGGTAATGTGTCTCAAGGTTGTCTAGAACGTGATGTTTGAATACACATCATACGATGTTTGACGCCTACGCCAGTCTGACTATTTGAATATCCAATCATCCATGATCTAACACACTTGTTGTTCTGTAATAGCAAGGCAGTGCCTCAGTGTCTTATCTTGCATGATAAATGAACCACTGCCATCTTTCTACGAAAAATTTCTTGTTTTATACTCTACAGCCAAAATCTTTCGAAAATCCTAATCAATGGCCTGCGTTATAAATTGGAAGAAACTGATGAAAACAATCACATTACTATTTTAGGATATTTTCAAATAATAGACGTTGAAATTCTAAATCGTTGCATGTATATGATTTTATGGTGGTATGCTGCATATTTTGAACAGCCTGAATGTGTCTCACTTAATAAGGTCTGGTGAACACTTAAATGATGTTTGTGCATTTTGACACAATTTGTCAGTGTTTGTGTTATGATATGTGGGTCGCTCGTTAAATAAATATGTTGCTTATAATGTAGAAATGGAAATTAACGGGATAGCTCTCTCCGATTTTTACATAGGAAGGACTCATCGAAATCTACATGTAAAAAGCTTCAAAAGCTATGAGTCACCAGAACTCATTATTGGTGAGAACAGACCATTGGGCTGTTCTACTGCGAAACATATTATAGAGACCGGAAATTAAATCGGTACGTACTCGTCTTTTAAATCTATCTATAAAAATTGATTTGGGAGTATCCTTAAGTTTTTGGAAGTCTTACCAGTTAGGAAGTTCAAACCATCTTTCAAAGGTTCAAATACCATTCGTCGTCGCATTACATCTTCTTTGATAAACTAAGTTTTGATACCAGGAGAGATGTATGAATACTTATGTTGTTTGGTTAAGTGATCTGCCTTGTTATGTTGATTCTTAATATGTCCTTTTAAACTGACCTGAGTCTATTTTCTCACCCATTATCTCCCTATGATCCTCACATCAATATATATGTCTACTCCTTTGATAAGTCCATGTAAGATAAGAGTGTTTGAAGTGTGTTCCACAGATACACTACATGATTCAGTAAAAATGACGCATTCTTACTACTCTGACGAAATTTCTACAAAAGACTTACTGTTAAAAATTATTTTGATTATATGAAATACGAAAGCACATTGAAATTTCGTTTTCGAAAGAAAAATGGAAGGATCATAAAAGCTGTGGTGTAGAATACTTGAATAAATTCTGTCATCCAGTCAACTCAGTTAGTAATTTCCGGAATTCATTTAGACATCGGACGATTAAGGTGACTGTCTCGAATTTAGACAATTTGGATGTGTCTAGAAGGAAGCATTGATTTTCATCGCCAGTTGCTAACTACTGGTGTTAATCAGTAGTATGTTAGGAACTATTTGAAATTTTAACGTCACAGCATTCACATCCATTTGCCAGATACCCCGCTTTCATGAAAGGATAAGTACTTTATGTCACAGTTATTATCATTTTTAAATGAAAGTGACACAAAACACGCATCATGAGCATACGCTTTATATCTATTGGACTGTGTGAAGTTAACTGGGGGTCTCTCTCAACGGGTTCATACTGTATGGTATAATTTCATCCAGGTTTACTTCAGTTCACTGCGGGTTGCTGCATTTCTGTCGTCTGGTTAATTCGTTTGACATTAGGCTTCAGGGCTTATGATTATTTCGAAAAATCTTCCATTAGAAATCGGCTCATGAGAGAATACCGTGAAACTCTAAATTTTGTCGAATGCAGTGTAATTTAATAGTCAAACAGTTCCATTTACATTCTCACAAATCAATATTAATCGTTCGAAAGAAAAATGCTCAGGAGATGTTTACTGTCAGAGAAATTTGAGATTATTGCAGAAAACATTTTGTTAAGTAAGCTGATAGACTTATTCTGGACAGCATGTTTACACAATTCACGGAATATTCACCGTATTTGGTTGCATAATTTTACATATTCTGTTTATGCAGGATCTTCAAGTGGTACAGCAATCTGTAGCATAAGGTATCACAATGTTGGTCAGTATGAATCTTAAACCAACCAATTGAATGTGATTGTGAATTGTTTTATTGAAACCATTTTAGGAAGATAAACAATTCACTTATCTCATATATCCTTCTGAAAGGTATCGAATTGGATCATAACTTACAAAACTAGAAACTGCAAATTTATGAGAACCTGAACATAGGCATTGCAATTAGCGAAAAGTCTCTGAATAAATTAGTTTCGAAACAACGTACTTAATTTGTATCGACGTTGAAGCCAACAACTTAGAAGTTGCTCTTTACATAAACTACCTGAAGGAGCTATTTCTCAGATGTAGGTTTAATATCCACTTCAAATTCAATGAAGAATTCTGTGTACAGAAAGATGGTGTAGCCATAGGATTTCCTTTCGGTCCATTCCTAGCCGACTGCTTCATGGCGAGTCTCAAAAACAACATCCTAGATCCTTGGATAAATCAAGTGCAGTCATACAGGAAACACGTAGTTGATACTTTCATAATTTCTGATGGAAATCCTGAGTTAATTCACCTCATCAAAACCTTCAACGCAGCACACCCATCAATAAAATCCCTCTTGAAAGTAAACCAAACATGACAATTTCATTCCTTGATTTACTTCTTACCAGAAGACAAGATTGTACGCTCCAAAGATAGATGTATCGCAAGTCAACATGGACGAGAGAGTTTATGAAATGCCGGAGCTTTGTCCCACTGATCCGAAAGCGAAATCTGATACATACCTAATGTAAGTTCGGAAGTCATGATAGAAGAAAGTTTAAATTCAATGCGTGAATCCCTACTAGAAAATAGGTGTACACCAAGAATCATAGACAAAAACATGAAAGAGAAGCCTCTGTCGCGAAACATCGCAACTGTTCCTAAGAAAACTTTCTTCATGAACACCGAATTGAAAAGTGAAGTCGCAGCGGAAGTCTCAGAAACCGCCTTCCTATATATATGGAGAAGATATTTCAAGCACCCTCCTCACGTATCACATTCTCCAGCAGACAGCTAAGCTAGTCTAACAACTTCTGGCCACTCCACCTGTGTATTTATCATTTCACGTGCTCGTGTGGAGCGAAGTATATCGGCTGTACGCAACTTCAAGTCCACAACGTATACTAGATTAGTGTCAAGCTTGGTTAACCAGAGGAGAAGAAGGAGAATAGCAGCAGCTGTATCCTTGAACATCATATCATTTCCGGCCATCAAGTGACAATCGCCTGAATGGTTCACAGTGCTACACAGAATAACTCAATATCGTAAAAAAGGACTTCGCCTACGTCATCTGTATATAGTTAAAGCATAAACTATTGGAGATCTGAAATTTGACCCCTACATTCAAAAGCTTGACATACATTCTCTTGCCCTACCGTGGCCAGAGTAAAGTTCTAACTATAATCTTGCTTCTTTTCTCTTTTATTATGCGGGTATACCATTATTATCACAGTTATTACTACTATTATTTTATTATAATTATTATTCTCATCATCCATATTTTATTACCACTGTATTACTGCTTATTAATAACATTGGTTTTGCATGAGAACACTTTCTCACCTATCCACTTGTTTCTGTCCAATCTACACGAACTTATTGTTTAGCCATTATCCCACGCCTATTTCGTCGTGTCAATTTCTTCCCCCCCCTCCTATTCTAACTTCCGATTAGTCACCATATCTGTGTTACACCATAAACTACGTCATGTTTGTTAAAACAGCAGAAGACGTCAGCGCCTAAATTTTAATTTATAATTACACTCGCTAAATATGGACATCATATAAAGTCATCGGTTATATATATATATATATATATATATATATGTATATAAAATACTTCGCTTGTTTCATACAAAGTCATTACACATTCAGTTGTTTTTTATGCGACAATGCATACGTTGACGTTCAATCTTCTAAACAACCTCTCTATATATCTGATCCATTCCAAAAATCACTGAATTTTACCATCTCGGTAATAAATGAAGGTCCATTACAGAATCCAAGTATGTCTATGATTAGTTCAGGATGCTTTTGATTTCACAAGAATGTCGACGCACCACAAAATTATCAGTCCATTGTAACTTCAATCGGAGAGCTTAAATAAATTGACGCGTCCTCATTCCACTAGGATGTTATTGCATTGCTTACAATATGCACGTGATTTCTTCATTTATCGACATTCTTTTCTCTGTGATAGGTTTTACTCTGGTCGGTGAGCTTTGCTATCTTGTTCGAATCAATTAAATGGTTATGTGGATTGATATCACTGGGTATAACGATTGCGATAACAATTGTGGTGGTCTTTCTGGCTTGGAAACTACCACCATTGAATGTGAAGGGGTTTATCGTTTTCATTTCAATATCAATCACCATTGGCGTTTTGGCCATCATTGCGGTGATTTGTTATTACGTCTTCTGGAATGGAGACGAATTAAAAAGAAAGGTAAATTCATATAGATAAAAGGTAAATTATTATACACAGGCAACTCATGAAATAAGATGAAATCTCTCTCTCTTTGATTTCCTTTCTATTTCGCTTGTTGAATATATCTCTAAATTGAATGTGATATTATGAACCATAAGAACAATTACTTACAGATTACTGAAGCTCAGCTAAACGTTGATGTTGTCTACGCAATATAAATGGATATCGATTTGTTTCGCTACAATTTGTACAACTAAGTACAACATTCAAATGACATTGTAGCAACAACCAAAGAAATGAGTGTAATGTAAATAACTCCCAAATTAGACAGATTTCATTTCAGAAAGAGTTTTAAAATGACGAGCAATTAATTTGTTGAGTACGTGACTTACCTACATGTCATTCAGTATGTCACTAATAGCTGAGACTCTAAATTGCTTTTTCAGTGAGATGATGTTTGTGCATTACTGCGGGGACACTGTTAATTGCCTTGGAAGGCACAGCAACTAGGTTGTCAAATAGCAGCAAACCTGAGTACTTTCAATTG